TAGTAACTATTAAAAAGAAATATGTGACATCCTTAACTTGTATTTTGATATGAATGCAGGTTAAGGGTGTTACAAAGAACTAGTGGCATAATTTTATCATCTCTAGACGTATAAACAAATAGGTTGATGAACTCTAAATGAACATGTTGGCTAATATACAAACAAACATGTTCACGAATATTAAAAGAACATGTTGTGAGCATATAAACGAACATGTTTGCGAACGTAATCGAACTGAACACGAATATATTAAAAAACATAAAATTAAAAATTTAAGGCAAAAGGGTGCCTAAGGCCCTTGTACTTTTCCATAAAAATCAATGTGGCTCTCAATTTTTATTTGCACTCAATGTGGCCCTCGAACTAAGAAAAAGAACACAATGTGACCGTTTGACCAACGGTTTCTGTCGTTGACAATTACGATGCTAATGTGGCACTTCACGGCGTAGACATGGCATTCCAAGGTGACCACGGTGCTGACATGGTAGTTAACCAGGGATAGTAACGTGGCTGATGGGCTAAATTGATTTTTTTCAAGCTAGAGGGCCAAATTGATTTTTTTAAAAAGTTCAATGACTTATTTGATTTTTTTAAAAGTAAAAATATTTTAAATTTAAAATACTATAAATATATGTTAAGCCCTTTAGTCTTTTAATTTTTATTGTTAGCCCCTCTCAAAATTTGATTCTTTCACTTAAGGATTTTGTTTTCATCACTTTTGGTATTAGTATCATTATTTTGTAACACATAATAATGTTAGCAAGTATGGTAGAGCATAGAAATTCTAGAGTTAGTTGCAAATTTTAATATATCTAAAAAAATTAGTATTAATTTGTTATGATATTAAAAAAATATTTATGAATTAATAAATATGTGATTAAAATAATATAAATTTGATTGGATGAGAATTATTTGTAATGCAATATAAATAATTGTTGAGAACTCATTTTATCCATACTAGTATGGAGATTTTACTCTTATTTTTAAATGATGTATTTTTTATTCTCGTATATTTGATATTATATTTTATTTTTACTTTTTACTCATGTTTAATTTTTCTTAATTATATAGTAAATATTTATTAATTTAAATATTTTTATTTAACAAATAATACTACGAATTAATGATATATTTATATTTAACTTTTGATATTTTAATATTTTTAATTTAAAATATTTTATTTTTAAAAAAATAAATAAGCCCTTAAACTTTAAAAAAAATGACCCTCGAATTTGAAAAAAAAAATTAGTCCATTTACCATGTCACTAGCCACAGTGGACTGACTTGTCAGCACTGTAGTTGGTCAAATAACCACATTAGGTTCTTTTTATAAATTCGAGTACTATATTGAGTGCAAAAAAAATCAAGAACCATATTATTTTTTTAGAAAAATAAATAGACATCAGTTACCCATCTAAGAAAATTTAAATAAACAAGCATAAAATATAAATAGTTTTAAAATAAATAAATATAAATACAATGTTATTCATTCCAATATAATAAAATCGGATAAGAGTGAGCCAAAATTCAACAAACATGGTAACTTAAAACCAGAAATGAACCGCGTGCGATCGTCAAAACTTCCCATTTCACACTCGTGCCATTGCTTCAAAGTATTATATCCGTCACCTAACCTAACTCGCAGCTTCTCCAACACATTTCACGTGTGCACATTGTGCCAAGTGCCAACTCCAAACCCATACTTCTTTCTTTTTAAAGATAAATCAACAACAACAAAACCCAATTCTCATATGCAATGGGGTAAGGGGGAGGTAGGGTAGTAGGCTGCCCCCAACGTCAAGTTGAGAGTATCTTCCGTGGAAGACCTCCCGCAGTCAGAAAATTAAAAATATAGATAAAATGCAATGCATGTATAAATAAATACATAAATACATAGTTGAACAGTATTCATATGTAGTCATTAATATCATATGCGTATCTGTAATGTGAAGTAATCCCTGCAAATAAATCCTTGCGAAAAAATCTCTGCATATAGACAGAAACGTAAGACCCGGCTAAATTTAAAAGAGGAAAGAGGAAAGAGGAAAGAGGAAACATGAAGAGAATGATACACAGAAGTCAACGATAGCAAGCCCAGTTCAAAGCCTTCATAAATACCAATAACATAAACGTATAAAAAGTAGAAGTCATGGAAATTACTACAAAGGCATTAAAAGAAGATAGAGATGATACATCCTATAGATGTGACCCACACTACTCGACTACCCTAGTCTTAAGTCTCCATACTTTCCTATTAGAGGTCATGTCCTCGGTAAGGGCTAAATCCATCAAATCAGATCTCAAGCAGTCTTCCCACTTCCGCCTTGGTCGTCCTCTCCTTCTGGCACCGTCGACTATAATTGACTCTACCCTCCTGACCGCATCCGACGGTAGTCGCCTAAGGACATGCCCAAACCACCGTAGTCTTCCCTCCCTCAATTTTTCATAAACATACACCACCCCAAGGACATCCTAATAGCAGAGTTTGTTGTCATATCCCACAGAGTCCTACCACATGTCCATCGAAGCATTCTCATTTCTGTGGCCTCTATCCTCCTTACGTGATCCTTCTTGATTGCCCAACATTCTAATCCATACAACAGCGTTGGTCTTATTGCCATTAAAAATTTCTTTCTACTAACACAATATTAGATTCTTATAAGAGAAAATACTGTCCAAAATTCTATTAATCAAGCCGAAATTCATGCGTAATGATATGCAGTCTTTTACACAAAATTTGAGAATTATATTAAAAAATTCATCATAATTTTTATAACATGTTCACTTGATCATGCGTGCACTCCACCATCTTTTTATTGTCAGTGAACTCGAGCCACAGTAAATAATTTATTATTTCTCCTTTTCTCATTGATTATCTGACAAATTGGATGCCCATTCCCCCCAAACCAAATGAGCAAATAGATCCCCACAATAATCACTACTCTACTTTTGTAAGCAAAACTTCTCTGCCACACTTCAAATATTTTATTTCTACTTTTATTGTATAGTATTGAAACTAAATGAAACAGCTAACTAAATTAAATGAACGTTTATTTACTTGTTTTCTTTTTATGTGTTCATAGAGTTTGTGGTAAATTTAATAGGTGCTTTTACGTGTTAGCATAATGAGTTAGTGAACATCAAATTTTTTTTGATAGAAGTTTGATGTCTCATTAAAAACTCCCTTCGTATTCATCTACATACTAAGAAGTATGTTAACGAACATTGGAAGGAAGAAAAGAGTACCTCATATTTTATTGAATAAACACCCATTACATATGAAAACATGAACTACCCTCAAACGGGGATAAACACCATTACAAAACACATAATCACCTAAAACTCTCGCCTTCTCGACCATAAAGATCAAGAGGCAATCACTATATACCTAAGATAAACCTCCATCAAAAGGAAAACAACCCAACAATAACTGACATAACATACATAAAAACAACACCTGCAACCATTAAACCAAAAACATCCGCCTCTAAAGGGAACTCCACAAAATACCAACATAATTCACAATCACCAACAAAGTCAGCTCGATAAGTTATCTTCACTGAGACAAAACCACCTTTCCTTCCCTTCAATCAATGTCTCCTTGCCTCTTAATTCAGAACTTTTTTCTTTGTCTTACATTTCTTTACTCCACGATTTGTTCTTAATTCCCCAGGGATAGGGGGCACTACTGGGGTATCTGCCTTTAAATGTATTGCATCACAAGTTGAACCATGAGAAGTAATGAGACCCATCATAAGAACATCTTCTGAGGCCCTAAGGCTAACTCCATCCGAATGGTCAACTGATTTATTAGGTAGATTCTCCACGAAAAGATCATCCTCACCAAATTTTTTACTCGGATTCTCATCACTTTTGACACTCTTTATGGGTGACACCTTCCCTAAATGGGGACATTCAATCACATCATCTTCGACGGGGCAATTACAACCTGAGGATGGCACTGACGATCCTGACAGAGAATCCTCTGACGTAGTCTCGAGAGAACAAATCAGTTCTGGAGAGTCATCGACTTCCTCAGGGGTCCAAGAGTTTGGTTTGAAAGAAGGCTCAACTTCATGCACCATGATTTTAAAAAAATTAGAACTGACCTTCAAGCTCAATGACTCATCAATTCTACCTGTAGTATCTGTGAGGATTTGCAGTTTTGTACGATCAAAAGATGAGGGAAACTGAGAGCTTTCATTAATTGATAATAATTTGCCCCACCTAGCCAAAATGTTCTTGAAAGTACCCCAACTCCACGCGTGAAAAGGAATCCCTTCGCAAACTACCCATACTCGACGGCACTCTACAGCTAGACTCTCCGACCAAGCTGCAACTCTGGAAAACCACTCTGCAAGAGTCTCTGAATGTTCATTCTTCACCCTTCTCAACATAACAGAGTCCTCGAAGATCATGAGAACTATATTCCCAGCAGCTATCATTAACGAGAAACCATTGAGTCCTTTATCTTGCATTTGGCTAGCAAGATTTTTGATTTTGGTATAGTTCTTGCACCAACCCATTAGGCAGTTATCCAAAACTTGAAGTTTAGCTTCATCAACAAAACCGTCTACTGAATAGAGATTCTTTCTTGTAGCATCATCCCTTTCGGGCTTTAGGTGAACAACCGGCGAAGACTTTCTCCAAAAAGAATGTCTTGGGTTGTACTTAGCAAAATAGACTCCAATTTTACAACCATCAATGCGAGCACCATTCATCTTTGAGATCATTTTTCTGGCTTCTCCACTTGTTGCAAAGCGAATGAACCCGAAACGTACCCCCTTTGAATTTATTTTATTTGGAATAAAGGCATCCAAAACCTGACCGTAAGGACAAAATAAAGATCCAAACCTCTTCCAATGGATCTTCTGTGGTAAGTTATCAATGTATAACGTAAAACAGCCAGTTCTATGCCCCATATTGATTTTTGGATAGTCTTTCTTCCACCAATAATTAAAATTGTGGCAATCCGGTTGTAGGATTTCCGCCTCAGAAATCTACGCAATGGTCTCATCCACGCTCCTTGCTTCAACCAACGAATCATCCATGTTCTTGTTAGTCACCAACACCATCCTCTCAAACACTTCCTCCGCCACAGTTCTACTCTGCTTCTTCTTTGCTTCCTTCGCTATCAGCAATGTCGTTGCCTGCTGCCCATCTCTTTGCTTTTGTAGCTCCGCTTCAGTCGCCTTCGACAGTATAAAATCTATGCGCTTCGCCTTATTACCTATTTTATCCAAAGGTTCTGCGATCTCCTTTTCCTTAATCGTGGACTGACTGCGAGTCATAGTCCGGCGAGCGGCAGCTACAGCCTGTTTCTCGGATACTTCCTCTCTTAACTTGGCTGCTCTTTTTGAAAGCAGAAGCTTTTACTGTTTCAGACCTTTGGATAGATTTTTGTTTTGGTGTGGGGTATCAAGACCTGCTTCAAAATCCTGGGAACTCATATCGTTTCTTATTTCCTCTTTTATAACTGTCGACTAGAAGAAATAAATACCTCCTTAATCAACAGAATTTGATTCAAGCATCTGAATCTACGTATCACCCTTTATAATTAAATTCCCAGAACAAGAGCTCAAAACAGTGTCGGAAGAGATCCACCAATAGTTTCGTGTCTGAAGACTGGGATGGCGGTGGAGAAAAACAGAAGGTTTGGAGGTCTGTATGTTTGTTCTTGCTGAAACTTCTCACTGCAAAATCATAATGAGATGCAGCGATTCTCGACACTAAGATAATGGGTTATGGTCGTAAAGAGGCTCTGAGCACGGTGGAGATGCGATGTCCAGTGTACGATCGGCGGGTGGAGGCAAAAACGGCAATGAGCAGCTTCAAGATCTGCGTCGAATCAGAGTCTTAATCGCAAAACCAATCCCAGATTAGGAAACACCTTGATCTGGCGATCTTCCCACTAAAAACGGCGTCCAAACGGTGGTCAGAGAGTGGCGGCGAACGGCTGACGGTGGCGGCGGGTGGCGGACGACGTCGACGGACAATGGGTGGATGGCGGTGGAGAGAAAATTTTTCAAAAATGCATGTGCTCGTGGAAATTTGAAATTTGAAAAACGCCTAGGCTAGAGAGAAGCTGGAGCTTCTCTCACTAAAACACGTCCCGAGAAAATAGTTAGTGAACATCAATGATCATGCTCTAACATTGCTCGAGCTCCAGGGTATGTTGCATGGTGTGCATGGAGAAGATTCAAGAAGCTTGTAGTTAAGCTCATAGTTGATGGTGTATGCTGGGTTGCAGACAATCAGAACCATAGGTTGTTAAGTTGTTGTTACACGGTTATATTTGTCAAAGTCTGTTAGGAAGTTTGCTTCTTGGTTCAGTAACCAAGTGCTATATAAACCATGTAATTCTTCACTGGTTTTTCAATGAAAATGTAGTAATTATTTTGATATAATGACACCTTTCTCACATGGTATCATTTGTCAATGATCCTGCGACCATCTTTATTCCGCCTGTGTTTGTTGTTATTTTCTTTCTAAACACCGATCAGTCATCGAATTCTCAACCACCGTCCGTCACTATCCACCGTACCTGATCTCAGAGTTGATTTTGTTACGAGGAAATCACTAGGCTTGATTGATTAATTTGATGCCTCAACATCACTGTTTCTTTCATTTCAATTCAACAATGGTCAATTCATACGTTATATGCTATCTTGAACTCATTCCCTTCTTAATGGATGCATGCAAACTTCATTGGGCTATCATTATTCTTCAACTGATGTTCATTGGTCTCGGTTTACACCAAATGAGTCTAAGTTTACACTGTTCCTCATCATCTGATGTGTATGGACTTGAGTTTACTAATGAGGTTTGGTATACTATTTTCAATTTATCGAAGGTTTTCAATCTTGTTTGCTCCGCTTATGGCAAACCATGTCGATCCAAAATAGAAAGCGAGTTGCATACAAAACAAACAGGGCATATCGAGTTTGTAGATAAGACTTTGGAGGCAGCAAAGCCAATCAGTTTGGAGGTCCCAAAGGTAGCAATGGACTCAGAGGAGGATGTTGATGTAAGTAGCACCAGCTAGTCTGAAGAGATGGTTGTGCCAGATGTTGACAAAAAAACTACTTGAAGAACTGGAAGCGATGGGTTTCCCTACCGCACAAGCAATACGTACTCTCCACTTTTCTGGTAACACAAGTCTTGAGGTTGTCGTGAACTGGGTAGTTAAGCATGAAGCTGGTCCAAACATAGATGAGATGCCCAAGGTATCTGTCAATAAACCTTCTCTTACACCGAAAGAGATGAAGGTCAAAGCATAAGAGCTAAGGCAGCGGGCTCGGAAAAATAAAGAAATGAAGGTGAATAAGAAGAACGAAAGAAAGCATCGCACTTCCGATTCAAATCGAACGGAATGAGGCATCGGCACTTCCGAGTCAAATCGAACGGAAGGAAGCATCAACAGTTCCGATTCAAATCAAACGGAAAGATGTATCGCACTTTTGTTTCGGGTGTTCATCTTTTCATCAAGAAGGTTGAATGTTAAAAATTATTTGTAATTAGTTTTTAGAGCTTACTGTAATAGTGTGTTTAAGGTCAGAAGAACAAAAGAAGAATAAGTAGAGGGAATGTTAGCATAATGAGTTAGTGAACATCAATGATCATGCTCTAACATTGCTCGAGCTCCAGGGTATATTGCATGGTGTGCATGGAGAAGATTCAAGAAGCTTGTAGTTAAGCTCATAGTTGATGGTGTATGCTGGGTTGCAGACAATCAGAACCATACGTTGTTAGGCTGTTGTTACACGGTTATATTTGTCGAAGTCTGTTAGGAAGTTTGCTTCTTGGTTCAGCAACCAAGTGCTATATAAACCATGTAATTCTTCACTAGTTTGTCAATGAAAATGTAGAAATTATTTTGATACAATGGCACCTTTCTCACATTACGATAACGTGGTTATATACATAAAAAAAATTAAGTATCGGCTATCATTTCATATCCCTCTCCAAATATCTTAGCTCAAACCGTAATGACGAATATAATTCTCTCTATCACCATATGTATATATTACGAGGGGCGGATCTAAAAATCTAAAATTTTAAAAATAATGATATGAAATTTTAATATTCTTATTTCAAAAATTTAGTATGCAATTTTTTTAATTTTTATTAAACTAAATTTAATAATTTCTTTAAAAAAATAGGTATGACGTTAAACACCATAAGAGTTGCATACATCTGTCCTAAATATTTTCATGTTAGTTATATATTTTGTTGATAATATCTATTTATATGTATATATATTTAAAAATACTTTTTGATCTGTTATTGACAACCCAAGTCATCATTGAAGATAAAAATCACCAATTGATTTATTTATCAATGTAATATATTAATCTCTATTGAATCTAAAAGGTTTAACTAGAAAATAAGTATACAAATTATACTGTTTTTTTTTTACAAATAGGTGTTCAAATTTTTTACGATTCATCCAGGTGTCTAACGTTTTAAACGTTACCATTTTAACTTTCTATCTCTTCTTCCTTCTTGATTGATAGGCGACAGTACCAACCTTTTTGTTGGTTGTTAATGGTATTATTTCTTGTTTTTCTTTAATTTCTGATATCTAAGCTTTGCATTTTATTTACTTTTATTTTTTAATAACTATACATTTATGACATATTTTTCTATGTTTTTATGGTAATTGTTTTGTCTTTATACCATATTTTGAGTCGTTTGATCATTGTTTTAGTTTATCTTTCTTTCTCAAAGTTGAATTTGGCATCGCTATGACTGATCAAGATGACACTTATTTGTTATCATGTCGATCTTCTTTGCTTTGGACCCTTAAATTGGATTTAAATACGCGATTCGAGTTCATGGATAATTTTCCATGTCACTCGATTCGACTTTGATTTATGGTTTGTTGGTGGTCTTTCAATAATTTGATCTTCTTTTTTTGGTTCATTAACTAATTTAATTAAATATGTTTGTATCTATTTTTTGTTCGAGTTTTTTTGTTAAATTTTTAGTCTTTTCCTTTTTTGTGGTCATTGTGTATTCTTAAGTGACTAATTTTAATGTTAATGATTATATAAAAATGTTCTAATTATATGTTTAGTTTACGATAATAATTGTAAACCTTCATTGTAATTATAAATATTTTATCTTCTTAATAAAACTAGTCATTTCTATTTAAAAATTATAAAGGTATGGATGGGACTACAATACACGTCGTACACAGAAACACACTACTAATGCAACACACCATTAATACAACACATCAAAACACACCACTAACTAAATTGTCTTTATTAACTAAACATTAAAGCTCTCAAGGATTGTTCATGATTAATCCACTAGTTTTATAGGATAAAGTTTTTAAATGGTCACTAAACTATGTTAAAATATCTTTTTAGATATTAAACTTTCAAAAGTTACGTAATGGATACTAAACTTTATTTATTTTTCTTATAAAATAGATATGATAACTTTATCTTTCATTAAAAGGATGAAGTGACATATTAAATTAATAAAATAATCTATTTACTCTCTCAATTATAAATAAAATTTTATTTTTATAATGTTTCAACATTTTTTAAAAATATTCTAAAAAATATTTTTTAAAATGTAAAGGCATTCACAATTTATTTTTAAAATTATAATATTTTTTAAAATTATAATTTTATGTGTAACACCCCAAATTTCAGGTTAGTAGTTTTGGGTTTACCCGAGAGGTAAGTAGACCTCGTGAAATTTATAAATTAAGTTGTTGGGCTTAATTGGGTTGGTTTTGGATAAAAAGGGATTTTTAAATAAGGGACAAAATGCAAAGGATCAAAAGTGCAATTATATCGTTGAAGGAAAACATGCTGATTTTTTTTGTTTTTATTTTATTTTAGACGTAGGGTTCACCCATTTTATATTCTCTTCCTCCTTTCTTCTTTCTTTCTCCATCTTCTTCCCCCATTGCAAGAGCTTAGCTCAAGGTGAGTAGTTGGAGTTTCTTTCTTATATTCCTAAGCTTCAAATTCGTTCTTAATCTTCTTCATTTTCATCTTGAGTTAAGAAATCTATGTATTCATGCTTGGCTTGAGAAAAAGGGTAGAAAATCAACCAAGTCAAAAAGTAAAGTGCTTGACAGCTAAAGGGGCTTCATTTCGGGATCATGGTATCAAGATAGTGTATTTCTAATCCTTTAAAGCAGTAAGTTTTCATAAATCACAAGAAATTGCTAAGATTTTTTTAGTTTAGCATTTAGAGTTTCACTTTTTATTTATTCCTTAAATCACGAATTTGATGTTTAGTATGTGTTTTATGACACATTAAGACCCTAAATAACTTCCCATAATATTGGTGCATGATTGAGAAAAAACTATGGCCTTTATGATGCTTTTTGAGTATTTCTCGGCCAAAAATATCAATTTCTAGGTTCGAGTATCGGTATTGGGATGAACAATATCGATACTAGTTAAATTGGGGTAAAATTAGG